AAATCTGGAAAAATCCAGATTTGAACTCCAATGCTCAATATCAGTTCCAATGCATCAAATTCGATCCTTTTGGGCTAATTTTTCTGGAAAACACTTCAAAACTCATAGTATAGCATGTTTCAAAGATCAATTGAGAAATCAAAGCCCAAAGTAGTTTCAATTAAACATGATTTTCAATACCAAGTTTCAAGAACAACATTCAAACATGGCATGCATGATCTTAAATCATCTTCAAAGCTTTAGTGCTGTTTCAAAAGAGCTCAAACCTTCAAAAACAAGATGAACTCATGGAGTATGACCAAAATATGGACATGCATGTGAGGTATTATGAACTACAACCTCAAAACTTCAATATATGTACATGCATGCAACCATTAAGCTTTAATTCAACAACAATGAACCAATTCATGACTTAGTTCTACAATGAAGCATGAATCATGCAAGAACAACTCAAAGACACCATTAAGATGATGAATGATCTACCTTAGGTGTAGAATTAGAAGTGAGGGAGCTCAAATTAGTAATCAACCTTCGATTCTTTAAGCAATTCTAGCCAATTCACCATGAAACAAGTTGAACTCAACTCTTCTAGCTCCTCTCTCTCTCTAAGGTCGGCTAGAGCATCAAACAAGGCTGAGGAAATGTTTGTTTCAAGTGTGCACAAGGCTCTAATATGTTATAATAAGAGGCCCACTAACAATGGCAATTTGGTAATTAAGCCTAACTCTTTAATTAGCTTGTTTTAATCTAATTTAGTCATACCTAATCAGTTTTCAGGTAAATACACCATAAACTCACATTAATTATGAGGATTATAAAACATTAATCGATTCCCGGTTCGGCCGCCGATAAGGCCTTCAATTAGCAGTTTAAACATAAAACATGAACAGATAATCAAACAATCAAACAGATAGGTTATGCATTTAAACAGATACAGTCAGTCAATTAATTCCAGACTCCAGTCAGTCAGTTCAGTACTTTTAATCAGCTCAATTATCAGTCATAATCAATTCAGTTTAACGGTAATTAGTGTCTATCGGTAATCAATCAGTCATTAATCGGTAAGCAGTATGAGGGTTGTTACAGTTGGATACTATCGGAATCCATTGTTCTTCAAATGGATTGATGCACTGACCATTGCCCACTACCCACTGTAGCCTAGAAATTAACAACGTACGTCCCCATAATATACTCCGCTATTCCCATGATGACGACGAAGATTGCTTAGTCTCAAGAAACGAACGTCGTTGACAATATTTGCCTAGCAAAACTCATGAAATCAATAAATTGGGCAAAAACAAAATCCGCCATGCCTGTTTCGCTAGCAATGCTTGATTGAAGCAAGTAAGGTTTCGAAATCCTAGACCACCCCAGTCTTTAGGAAGATATAAATATGTCCATTTTTTCCAAAATAATCCTTTACCCCTAGATGAAGCCCAAAGAAACTGGCGAATAATAGCTGTAAGCTTATGCTGGAAAAAGCCAGGCATATGAAAAACCGACATTAGGTACACAGGAATAGACTGAAGAACATGTTTCACCAAAATTCCCTTACCAGCAAAGTTCAAAACTTCACATTTCCATCCTTGTAACTTAGAGTTTACTCTACTCAAAATAGAATTAAATATCTCCGACTTAGTACGCCCCGAGAACCCTAAGTTAGCACCCAAATAGATCCCGGTAACACCAAACAGGAAAACAAGCCAGTCCCGAGTTGTATGTAAAAAATTTGGGCTAAGAAAAAGTTCCGATATATGAAAATTTATGCGTAGCCCTGAATAGTAGCAAAATGCATTCAAGAACCAATGGAGGCACCAAATTTCCGTTGGTTTGTAGTTTAGAAAAATAAAACAATCATCAGCAAAAAGCAAGTGTGATATAGAGGGGGACTGCCGGCTAATGGCAATACCTCTACAGACATTAGTAGACGCCAAATGTGCAATACCTTCCGACAATACTTGTATGACTAACAAAAATAAATACGGCGAAAGGGAGTTGCCTTGCCTTAGACCCGCATTGGGTTGAAAAAATTTCGAAGGGACTCCATTAATTAGGACCGCAAATTGGACAGTAGAGACACATTGGGAGATCAATTGAATCCACCTAGGTGAGAACCCCATTTTAGTCATTACCGCCTCAAGAAAAACCCAACTGACCCTATAATAAGCTTTATTCATATCCAACTTCAACCCAAAACTAGATAAACGCCCCTGTTTTTGCTTCTTAATATATTCAAGAATTTCATGGGCCAACAAAATGTTATCCGAAATAAGTCAACCCTTCAAGAAAGCACATTGATTATCGGCAACTAAATCAGGTAACACCAGACTAAGTCTATTAGCGAGAACTTTAGCACCTATTTTATACATCACGTTACACAAACTAATGGGCCGATAGTCATTCACCGTAAGAGGGCTCTTCGTCTTAGGAATAAGGCAGATATAGGTTTGGTTGAGTGGTTGAAATAAGGATCCGGAATTAAGAAACCCCAAAACAGTTTCAGAAACCGAGTGTCCCACAATCGACCAATATTTTTGATAGAATCCCGCTATAAACCCATCCGGCCCCGGTGCCTTAAACTTCCCTATTTGAAACACAGCATTTCGAATTTCCTTATATTACGGGCAATCACACTCTATTGGTGTTAGATAAAAAAATTACACAATTATAAAAAAAATTATAATTTTAATTATTAATATGTATAAAGTTTCTTACTAATTTGTAAATATTTTTGTAAAACTACATTGATTTGATATTTCCCCTTTATATTATTATGCCTTAGTTATTGAGAGGTTTGAAAAATAAATTTTAACAGTGTTTTGTTGATTTGTTTTTTAATTTGTAACTTCTAAAATTTTACTTGAGGAGATGGTCTTACAAATAAACAAATATGACTAGATTTGAAAAAAGAAGGATAATTATTTATTTTTGTTTAGAAAATGACATTTTAACAAGAACAATAAGACAACTCGAGAACAAAATTTGTAATAAAAATTTAACAATTAACTTTTTAGTATTTAGTACAATAAATAATGAAAAAAATAATGAAAAATGAAAAATGAGTTTAGTAAAATTTTGTCCACTTATGGAATATGGAATGGAGTTGCTATAGTGTTTCTTATTGATAAATTAATTACAGCAACTTGAAAACAAAAAACTAAAATAAAATAAAAAACACTCCAATGGCAAGCCAAAAGGATCACCAAAATATAACATTACTAAATTTGGTGTTAAATTTGGTATAAAATTTGACAAAATGTTAAATTTTAGTTAGAGTTTGTGTTCTCTTTCATAATTGGACCACAAATAATATTTTGATTTTATATTTTTGACAAGAAAATAAAGCAAATAGCTGGTGCACTATTTTAGCAACATTGCTAATTTTGGTATTTTCACACTGTAGCATTGCCAAAATTTCCCTTTACCTATGTGTTTTAACATTTAGCACAAGTGATGCTTTTATGAACTCTTACTAAAACATGACTACTACTATCACCTATATAGGAATGCTTATGGATCCGGTTGGTTTAGTGGCTTTCCATTCATTATTCGTCCAAATTTAGGCGGGATAAAAAAAATAATTCCGTATCCATCTGCTTAGTTAATAGCTACGGATTGAGTAGGTTATGTGGATTTGCAGGTGGATGTGGATCAATTTGACGATTTGAACTTTATAATTTTATTTTTTTAATAATTATTTTAAAGTAGTTTTTTAATATTTTGAGCCTTATTTGAGTCTAAAATATTTTATTTTTCATTTTCTATAATTAAAATAAAAGCCAAACTTTTGTATTTTATAAATATCTAATATTATTACTTAATAAAATGTCAATTTGTTAACATATAAAGTATAAAAATATAACATTATTTTTTTAAAGAGAGTTTGACAGATCAGGTTAAATCGAATAACCTCTTCCATTCACCATCTGTCCAAACATAATCGAATTTGGAAAATTTTCATCCGGCCATTCTATCGAAATCACTTAAAAACATATGATTTGAGTCAGATTGGTCATTTTTAACATATCAATCAGGCCAATAAGCACCGCTACTGCCACCATTCCACCATCTCCACCCAAGGTGGATATGAGCATGTTCACCCACTCAATGCAACTTTTTTTTTTTTTTTTTCAGAATTTGGAAATAGTATTTTGGCCCATAAAATTGGGTTGGACCCAGTCCAGTCCTCTTTGGTATTGTTTAGTCATTGACTGGTTGATAAATCATGTTCAAAAGAAACAAATTTGGTTGGTGAACGGATTAAAGATGGAACCAATTTTTTTTTAAAAAAGAAAAAGACCATTTATGGGCAGATGGACTTTAAAATTACATTTCCTTTTAAGGTTAGATTTGGGCCAATTCGAAATTGGGCAGTGTACAAAGCAATCTTAGTCCAAGTTTGGTCTGACCTGACCAATGTCCACTGCTATTTCCCTACGATTATCATAACCATTATCTTCGTCGCCATTAGCTTGTTGCCCCCACCTCACTCTCTTGCTACTGTCACTACCTCTATCACCCTATCAGCACACATAATTACTAGCATATTGTTTTGGTAATTTTAAAAAGAAAAAAAAAGTTAAATATTAGCCCTATTTTATTTACGTCTGTTTATAAAAAATTAATTAAAATAACCATTAGTTTAATGATTGTAGCAAAAAAACGTATTTTACATATAATAATTAAGAGTAATGCTACGTAACTCGAAATCAACCCCCCGAATCCCCCTAATTTAAAAAACGACGTCGTTTTTCCATTTGTTTTTTTTTTGGGTTGAATCAGAAACGAAGAAGAAGAATGGAGAAGAAGAAGAAGAAGAAGAAGGGAAGGGAGAAGAAGAAGAAGGGACGAGAGAAGGGAGAGCTGGACAAGAGGGGGGCATAAACCAGGGGCGGAGGCGAGGCGGAGGCCGAACTGCTGCGACGATCGCCGAGCTGCTGCGACGATCGACGATCGGCCAACGATCGGCCTAGCTTCTCTTCCTCTCTCTCTCTCTTTCTCCCCCTCTCTCTCTCTCTCGCCTTCACCCTCTTTTCCCCCTCTTTTCATTTTTGGGGGATTCGGGGGAGCTCATTCGAGCTCCCAAGCTTTATCCAATAATTAATTTCTTTTTTCTATTTTGAAAGATATTTTTCACTAAAACAAAGGTAGGGTAAAACAAAAAAGAATGTCAGTGTTTGACCATTTAAAAAAAAGTAATTTATTAACTAAAAAATAAAAAAAATAAAATTGTTTCTTTCCGGCTAAAAAAATTAACAACAGAAAAAAAAAATTCCGAATCTAATAAAATTTTTAACTTAACAAAAACTTATTTACATTTACATAACACATTAATATATTTTTCAAATTATAAAAAAACAACAACAAAAAACACTTAAAAATAGATAAATTATAAATACATCTTTAAAATTTGCATAAAATATGTATTGTATGTTATGATTTTCGAAATTACATTCTATCCTTTAAATTTTTAATTTCATAACAAATAACTCATTTTATTAATAAATCATCAAGTCAATTAATAGTTTTTAATGATATTATATATTTATTTCAATTAATAATTCATATATTTTTATTATTGTATAAAAGAGCAGCTATGAATTTTATTTTTTTCAATTAATTCTAGGGCAAATTATATATACCCCTCGAGGTTTAGCAAATTACAGATACTCCCCTGAGATTTGAGAAATTACAGATACACCCTTGAAAGTACTATTTGCATAACAAATTAGGGGACAAATTGTTATGAAAATATAAACCCCAGGGGGCAATTTATTATGAAAATATAAACCTCAGGGGGTACCTGTAATTTCTGAAACCTCAGCTAAATCTCGAGGGAGGTATATATAATTTTCCCTTAATTCTATTAATTAAGTTTTTTCAATAAAGAAATATTTATAATTTTTTAAATTACATTAAGCAATATATATTTTAAATAAATATTAAGAGGGTATATTTATAATTTGCCTCTTTCAAAAAAAAAAAGGCAAAACCCACCAAAACCTTTTGCCAAACAGACCCTAATTACAATTGAAATAGTTTAGGGAGGATGGCATATAAAGCAAAGGAAATCATCATCAGTGTCAAAGCTGATGCGTTATCGAACCCCCCCTCTCTCACTCATCTGTCTTTCTCCCCATTGCAAAATTTCTGATTTCTCTGAGCTTCTAGGGTTTTTCCTCACAAGCACATTCACTTACATTCTCTAGGGCTTGCTGCGCCCTAAGTTTCCATTCAGAAATGGTTGGAAAATCCATAATCTCAGATGACGAAGGTAAAAAAAACCCCTTTTTCTCTCTCTTCAAATGGGAATTTTCTCTCAGATTTCTTCGCCATTCACTGTTTTTTTTACCAATTTATGCAGATGAGGTTGAAGTTGAGGAGGATGAGAGAGAAACTGGCGATGGAGGCGGAGTCGACGTCGATGACCGCGATGACGACGATGAAGAAGACGAGGACGGTACGGGATTCGATTTTTCTCTTTTCGATTCCTATTTTTTGTTCTTTTAAATTTGTGGGTTTCTCTTTAATCGAATATATTTGGCTGCTAGGGTTTTGTAGGGTTTGTGAGATTTCGTTAGGGTTTATTTTTTTTGCGTGATGTTTGTTTCCTGGGTGAATCGAAGGATCATCCATTGAATTTTTGTTCTTTCTTTCTTAATTTAGTTGTGAAATCTTTGCCAAGAAAATGGAGCTTTTGAGACGATGTTTTGCCGAAAACTTATTGGGAAAATCTGCATTTTCCTTTCAAGCTGCAGTATTTGGCCTTTTGCTTGAGTTCTGGTGTCCACCAAATTATATTGTTTTTGGGTTTTTTAGTTTTTATTTTGAATGTATGTAATGTGCTTCTTTGATAATTTTTTGAACTAATAGTTATGTATAATTCATATTTATGGTCTAATACGCAGTTTGGTTCTTTTTTTGAGCAGAAGGGCAAGATGAGTATGAGAAAGATGGGTTTATTGTTGATGATGTTGATGAAGAAGAACCAGATGAGGAAGAATCGGAGAGGGCAGACAGCGATGAGGAGAGACAAAAGAAGAAAAAAAGAAAGAAAAGGTACATTCTTTCTTGTGAGACCATTCATTCTTATAAATTGCTGTTCTTATTTTTTTGTACTTACCACCATTTTTTTAGAGAATCGGAGAAGAATTATGTTCTTGATGAAGATGACTACGAGCTCCTTCAGGATAATAACATCACGGGCTTTCATCGTCCAAAATTTGTGAGCTTTTGTCTCTCTCTCTCTCTCTCTCTCTCCCTATATTTTGTATACGTGTCTATTGATCTACATTAGGTATATACACATATGTTCTTCATGCTGCTTTTAATTGGCTTTGCGTTGGTATACTTAATTGATTGACATTTTCGTGGTTGTTGTTTTCGTAGGAGAGCAAAAAGTTCAAGAGACTAAAGAAAGCTCAGAGGGACACAGATGAAGAGCGCACTGGATTTTCTGATGAGGAGGAGTTTGATGGAAGTGGAAAGAGCGGACGAACAGCTGAGGAGAAGCTCAAAAGGAGTTTATTTGGTGATGATGAGGGTAAATTCTATCACTTATAATCTAATGTAATTGTTTTGTCAATTCCTATTCTTGACACTTGCCAATTTCCTACAATGTTGCAGGACCACCTCTTGAGGATATTGCTGAAGAGGAACTACCTGAAGAAGAAGATGGCGACATTGGTGAAGAGGATGATGAAATGGCTGATTTTATTGTGGATGAAGAAGAAGTTGATGAACATGGGGCTCCTGTGAGGTATGATTTGCATCATGTATTTCATTAGGGGTATTGTGAATATGAAGTTTTTAATTTTCATCAATTCATTGTGCAGACGGAGGAAGCCGAACAAGAAGAAATCTAGGCAGGCACCTGGAGTTTCATCATCTGCACTTCAGGAAGCTCATGACATATTTGGTGATGTTGATGAACTCCTGAGGCTTCGCAAGCAAGGCTTAGCAAAGGTTGGCAAATATGATGATTCTAGTGAATGGAGGGAAAGGAGGCTGGAAGATGAATTCGAACCAATTATTCTTTCTGAGAAGTATATGACAGAGAAGGATGACCGGATACGGGAGATAGATTTACCGGAAAGAATGCAGGTCATGTAGTGCACATTAAAAACTGTTTTTGTTCTAGCATGCCACCTAAGTGCCTTGATTGAATTATCTTTTTCTTTCTTGTAGATCTCTGAGGAAAGCACTGGTCCACCACCAACAGATGAAATGAGTATAGAAGAGGAGAGTAACTGGATATATAATCAGCTCTTGACTGGCATGATACCTTTATTTAGCAAGAGGGTTACAGAGACAACTCAAGGGGAGCGTGAACTGTCAATAAACAAGGATGATATTATGAGGTTTTTGGAGTTTATGCATGTTCAGAAGTTAGACGTAAGTAGTAGATCTTTAATATCGGAGAATTTCTCTTTGTAGCCTTAGTCCTCCATATTAGCGTGCCTACCTTGTGCTTTTATTTTCTAGGTTCCATTTATTGCCATGTACCGGAGGGAAGACTGCCTGAGTCTGTTTAGGGACCCAGAGCAAAATGAGGATGATATTGAGAATCAGAGCAAACCTGATCAAAAGCCTACAATGCGGTGGCACAAGGTAAAACGATGTTGGATTATCGAACTATTTTTGTAGATTGAAGTGCATACATTCTGCTGGACATTTTACATTGATTAAATGGCGATATGCTTCTTTGTAGGTGCTGTGGGCCATTCAGGACTTGGACAGAAAGTGGTTGCTTCTCCAGAAGCGAAAGAGTGCTCTCCAGTCATACTACAATAAGCGGTTTGATGAAGAGTCGCGTAGAATTTATGACGAGACACGTCTAGCTTTGAATCAGCAGCTTTTTGAATCAATTACGAAGGCACTCAAGGCTGCTGAATCAGAAAGAGAGGTTGATGATGTTGACTCAAAGTTTAACCTGCACTTCCCCGCAGGTGAGGTTGGTGCAGATGAAGGACAATATAAGAGGCCCAAGAGAAAGTCACAATATAGTATTTGCAGCAAGGCTGGTCTATGGGAGGTTGCGAGCAAGTTTGGCTATAGTTCTGAGCAATTTGGATTGCAGATATCTCTGGAAAAGATGGTATGTGTTTGAATTGTGATTGCAATTGTTTTGAATGAGAATATAAGGTTGATGCTCTACAAATTTTTTTTGGCAGAGAATGGATGAATTGGAGGATGCCAAGGAAACCCCGGAGGAGATGGCTTCAAATTTTACATGTGCGATGTTTGAAACACCTCAAGCTGTTTTGAAAGGTGCCAGGCACATGGTATGCTAATATGTTTTTGTTGTGAAGAGATGTGTGAGCGATGAAGTTTGCAATAATATGCTTGCTTAGGAGGGTACTTTAATTGTGCTCACTAATTCTTGTGATGCTGTTCCAGGCAGCGGTAGAAATAAGTTGTGAACCATGCGTCCGGAAGCATGTCCGTAGTATCTTCATGGATAACGCTGTTGTATCAACTAGTCCCACACCTGATGGTAATGCAGCAATAGATACTTTCCATCAGTTTGCAGGGGTAAAGTGGATACGGGACAAGCCACTGACCAGATTTGAGGATGCACAATGGCTTCTTATCCAAAAGGCTGAGGAGGAGAAGCTGCTTCAAGTGACCATTAAGCTGCCTGATACTGTATTAGATAAGTTAGTAGCTGACTCTAATGATTATTATCTCAGTGATGGAGTGAGTAAATCTGCTCAATTATGGAATGAGCAGAGGAAGATGATACTGCAAGATGCTATTTTTGGTTTTCTGCTGACTTCGATGGAGAAGGAAGCAAGATCCTTGTTGACCAGTAGAGCCAAAAATTGGTTGCTTATGGACTATGGGAAGCTCTTATGGGACAAAGTCTCTGTGGCTCCATATCAACGGAAGGAAAGTGATGCCAACTCAGATGAAGAAGCTGCACCGAGGGTTATGGCTTGCTGTTGGGGTGCTGGAAAACCTGCAACCACTTTTGTGATGTTAGATTCTTCTGGAGAAGTAGTGGATACACTGGATGCTGGGTATCTCAGTGTCCGGTCTCAAAATATTAATGACCTGCAGCGTAAGAGGAATGATCAGCAACGCGTTGTGAAGTTCATGACAGACCACCAACCGCATGTTGTAGTTCTAGGTGCTGTGAACCTGTCTTGTACTCGGTTGAAGGATGATATCTATGAGGTATGCAATTCTGGAGCATACATTGTAACTTTTGCTTCTTATAGGATTTTTAGAACTGGTACTAGGCCTTCCTGCATGTTGCCTTATTATTTCACTGTAGTTTTATACTGGCTGTTGTATCCACTTCAAACCCTTTATGCTCTATAGTGATTAGGCTTCTCATTTCATTTTGACAGACTAGCTGTTGCCTTTGTTGTGGTTCCATTATCTTTAGGCTGATTAGACTCTTTATTCTATTTAGTGGATTTGCAAATTTATCATAATAGGATTGCAATCTAACCTGATACAAAAATTTGTTATCAAGAAACTCAAATGATGTTCGGAAGTAGTGTGTGATATGTTAGTAGAAAAGGCATTTGAATTGTGTAGTGTATAAATTTTAATTGAAATGGTAATGCTTTTTTTGCTCAGTCTTTCAATTTAATGAATGTTGACTAAAGCCCCTATCCTGCGAAGCATTACATGTGTCTTTTCTAATGCCACTACACCTGTCGATTTATTGTTTCTCTTTCTCAAACTGCTGACTTGTCTTGGTGGTATTTTTTTTGCCCTTATCAGATCATCTTCAAGATGGTGGAAGATAATCCAAGAGATGTCGGTCATGAGATGGATGGTCTAAGCATTGTATATGGTGATGAATCTCTTCCTCACCTATATGAAAATTCTCGTATTTCATTAGACCAGCTCTCCGGGCACTCAGGTAATTTACCTCGACTCCAGTAGTTTAGTGTTGATGAAATCCAATTTTGAATGCCTGATGAAGTTAGTTACCCCCACGCTCTCTTTGTAAGTTTATTGTGGTTTTATCTTTACCTTTATTTTCAGGTATTGTTAGGCGGGCTGTTGCTCTTGGGCGTTATCTGCAAAATCCACTTGCAATGGTTGCGACACTTTGTGGTCCTGGGAGGGAGATATTATCTTGGAAACTTAGTCCTTTAGAGAGCTTTCTTACTGCTGATGATAAATATGGGATGATTGATCAGGTTATGGTGGATGTCACTAATCAAGTGGGCCTTGATGTTAATTTGGCTATAGCCCATGAGTGGTTATTTGCTCCTTTGCAATTTATTTCTGGGCTTGGACCTAGAAAAGCTGCATCTCTACAGAGGTCTCTAGTAAGAGCTGGATCAATCTACACTCGTAAAGATTTGTTGACAGCCCATGGTCTTGGTAAAAAGGTGTTTGTCAATGCGGTTGGTTTCTTGCGCATCCGGCGGACTGGTTTAGCTGCAAGCAGCAGTCAGTTCATTGATTTGTTAGATGATACAAGAATACATCCAGAATCTTATGGTCTTGCACAGGAATTGGCCAAAGATGTTTATCTTGAAGATGTTCATGATGATGCAAATGACGATGACGATATGCTTGAGATGGCAATAGAGCATGTCCGAGAGAAACCTGATTTATTAAAATATTTTGACGTTGATGAATATGCTAAATCCAAGAAACGGGAGAATAAGAGAGAAACTCTTGACAATATAAGATTGGAGTTGATACAGGGCTTTCAGGATTGGCGTAGACAGTACGTAGAACCCAGCCAGGATGATGAATTTTATATGATTTCTGGGGAGACGGAGGATACACTTGCTGAAGGAAGAATTGTGCAAGCAACGGTACGCAGAGTGCAACCTCAAAGAGCAATTTGTGGGCTTGAATCTGGATTGACTGGTGTGCTTACTAAGGAAGACTTTTCTGATGATTGGAGGGACAATTCTGATTTGTCTGAGAAGTTGCACGAAGGTGAGATTCTTACTTGCAGGATCAAATCGATTCAAAAGAATAGGTACCAGGTTTTCCTAACTTGTAGAGAAAATGAGATGAGGAGTAACCGTTATCAGAATAATCGAGACTTGGATCCCTACTACCACGAAGACCAGAGTAGCTCACAGTTTGAGAAAGAAAAAGCTCGTAAAGAAAAGGAGCTTGCTAAGAAGCATTTCAAACCGAGGATGATTGTTCATCCTCGTTTTCAAAATATAACAGCAGATGAAGCAATGGAGGTATGTCCCCAATAATGTTGCTCTACTGTTGTTAACCTGCTGTGGTTAAGATCATGCAGGCTTGGGGGGTGTACTGTATTCTAATCTAAATTATGCTTTTAATACAACCAGCTTTTTACATTAAATCAAACTTTGTTAATGTAAAGTTGAAAACACACTGGGGGCAAACACTCCACAAAAGTTTGACTGAAAGCTAATTTTTAAGCATAATAGTGACACTTGTGTTGTTAAAACTTAAATAAAGAGGAATTTGAGGACTTGCAAGTTGATATTGTAAATTGTAGGTTGTAAGGTTTAATAGGATTTGGTCATAGTAACAATAATACTCTGTGGTTTTGATTTGAGTAAATTTTCCTTGGAAAGTAGCTCCTTGTGATTTCATTTGTTCAGTATTCACAATTCTGCCTTTACCTAATTTTTTTCTTCTTTTGTGTTAATATTTCCTTTTACTTGAATTTTAGATTCTGAGTTAAAATGGATTGTGTTAAAAACTTGGATTTAGACAATTACGTATCATTAATTCTTTCTTTATTTTGTGTTGCATAGTTCCTGTCTGACAAGGATCCAGGTGAAAGTATTGTCCGCCCTAGTTCTCGTGGGCCCTCATTTTTGACCTTAACTCTGAAAGTTTATGATGGGGTGTATGCTCACAAAGACATAGTTGAAGGTGGAAAGGAACACAAGGACATCACAAGCTTGCTTCGTATTGGGAAAACGTTGAAAATCGGAGAGGACACATTTGAGGACTTGGATGAGGTTAGTATAGTATTTTCCAACTTCATTTTTCATAGGCTTTTTGTTATGTTTGAGGACTTGGATGAGGTTAGTATAATATTTTCCAACTTCATTTTTCATAGGCTTTTTGTTATTTTTTTGGCTTTCCTAAATTACAATTTACATCCAATGTCTTCTGGAAAACCTGTTTTTAGGTTTCACAATGTTGATTAGATTTATTACGAAACTTTAAATTTTGATAAACATGATTAGAATGGGCTTGTCAGTGATTTTTTATTTTAGTGTTTACTAGTGCTTGAAAAAAATTCTTGTGTTTGGTTTTTGACTCTCGTTAACATTGGCCAATACTTCCAACCCCGTCTTTGTCATTATATTGGCTGGTATCACAATTCAAAGCCATGCAAACAAACCCCCCCCTTCTTACTGCTGATGATTCCGATCAGCTCAATTGTAGCCCAGTCACCCCAAACCAACCCCATATGAGCTTTTACTCTCATATTTGTGTGGTTAAGTTGTGTTGAGAATCAGGCGGTCTAATTTATGAAGGGGCCATATTGTGAGGAGTTCTTAGTTTCTAGCATGACTTTAAAGGAAATGTTGCAGCCTGGATTTGTTTTTATTTTTATGTTTTCCCATTCTTAAAGGCTATATGGAAAGCTTTTCCCTGTTCAGTTTTGCTTGGTGTTTTTATCAGATTTAATATAGCAGTTGTAGTTATTAATTGGATCAACTTCATATGCATTTTGAGCTTCTTGGAAGCATACTTGGTAACAAATACTTTTCTCAAAGGGATCCTTGTCGTGTTGTGTACTGATGATCTCATCAGCTCTGAAGTGGTAAACTATATTAGCAATTTTGTTTGTGGGTTTAGCAGTTAAACAACTATGTTGAAGTTATGAATGTATGAATGTGATACACCAATTATGTTTCATCTACTATTGTGGATGGAGCTCTGAACCCCTTAATTTCATTCTATTAATGTTACTCAACAAGGGGATGTGAATCAAGTAAGTTTTGTTTCCTGCCTTTTAATGCAGGTAATGGACCGTTATGTTGATCCATTAGTAACTCATTTGAAGACAATGTTGAGCTACCGCAAGTTCAGGAATGGCACTAAAGCAGAAGTTGATGAGCTATTAAAAATTGAGAAATCCGAATATCCAATGAGGATTGTTTATTGTTTTGGCATATCCCATGAACATCCTGGCACATTTATTCTGACTTTCATACGGAGCACAAACCCACATCATGAATATATTGGTTTGTACCCAAAGGGATTCAAGTTTCGAAAGAAGATGTTTGAGGACATTGATAGGCTTGTAGCATATTTTCAGAGACATATTGATGATCCACAACATGACTCGGGGCCCTCAATCCGATCGGTTGCTGCAATGGTGCCAATGCGAAGCCCTGCAACTGGGGGCTCATCCGGTGGATCTTTTGGTAGTGGTGGTGGGTGGGGTGGTTCTGGCAGTAATGATGGTGGCTGGAGAGGTCAGTCAATGGACCGAGAGAGAACTTCTACACCAGGTTCACGATCAGGTATTCTGGGTAATTGTTGTCTTATGAGTCTTCGTACTTTTGGATGTTGGGGGAAAAATGATTGTCATTTGAGTAATTATTGATTCATCCTTGCATTGTTGGGTTTGATTCTGCTATGATATCTTTGCATTGCTATGATATTTGTTACAAAACCGTTTTATAGTGGCTGTAATGTATATCTTCATCTGTTTGTGTTTGCGCTATGTGTACACGCTTGTGCTATATCTTCATCTGGCTGCATGTTTGGGTAGAACCTAAGAAGCATGGACACAAAATGTGACATGACATGGAATGCAAGACACGATAAGTGGGGGACGCTTAAAATATGTAATTTTATATATGTATTATATGTTAAGTATATGAATATTTTATCTAAAAAACAACATAATACTAATTTCTAAAATTTATGAGGGATTAATATGCATGCATAAATATATGTGGTCTTTTGTTTTATCTTAAGATTTCCAAATTATTTTATTCTTGTAGTATGTTTCATGTGTGTTTAAACTTTGGACACGTGTCTCCCAAGTGTCTGAAGTCAGTTTGGATATAATTAAAAAAAAGAAGACATGTTTGGATGTGTGTCCAACATGAGTTGGAAAGTGTTTGACGGGTATTGGTGCCGACAACTGTTGGTGTCAAAAATGTGTTCGTCACGGACACGCCACCTTATCAGAAGTGTCTGTACTTTGTAGGGTAGAGGAAAAGGGCTCACTGAACCAACAATTGTTTTTATACTCTATGTAAGCTCCGGGTGATTTGGTGTAAATTATTGTTTTGCATTTTTATTTATGTATTTATTCCGTGGGTTATTTGATACAGATATACACCTATATATATGCTTTGCATGTATTATTTTGGACATGGTTGCTAAACTTGATGAACCTTAACCTTATATTATTCGATGTTATTTATATTTTCAGCTATGTTTGGCTATGCATCTATTGCACTTTAATGCATATATTCCACCTCCTAGCTGCTTCACCACATTGGGTGCTCCTCCCATTGTTGGCTAGATCTGTTTCTGAATTGGACTGTTTTAGATTCTTTACTGGCCCTGTTTGGTAGAGCTGTGGGAAAGTGCTTATAGCTTATGCCTAAACAGCTTATAGCTTATAATTATGAACATAAGCTGATTTTTGACTTATAAATTAAGCATCTCCTGCCCCACTCAAAGAATAAGCTGATTTTTGACTTTCAAAAAGCTATAAGCTATAAGCTATAAGCTAAACCAAACACATCAAAATAGTTTAAATTCAGCTGAAAGCTGAAATAAGCAACTTTTAAGCTGCACCAAACAGGCACACTGATTTGTTCTTAAGTCTGCAGTGCTTGGGTGTGAATAATCTACACACACACACACATATTTTAGTGTTATTCTGAATATTTCTTAAGTTTTTGTATACAAAATTGGACAATTTTTATTTCTTTTTGTGGCCAATTATACTCATTCTGCTCGAGCTTGGACCAATGTTCTTGGCTTTGCTAGTATGCTAATAATACAGGATGTGTTGGCTTATTACACAGGGAGAGGCGATTACAAAAATGGTGGCAATCGGGATGGGCATCCAAGTGGGGTTCCAAGGCCGTTTGGTGGCCGTGGCCGTGGCAGAGGTGGCCGGGGGAATAATGACAGGCAGGATTCAGATTACAGTTCTCAAAAATGGGGTGCCAAAGATGGTGGTGAAGGATGGAGCAGTTTTCCAGGTGCCAAAGTTCAAAATTCACCAGGCAGGGAAGCTTTTCCTGGCGGTTGGGGTGGTGGTGGAAGCGGCGGAGGTGGCAGCAGTGATGGCGGCGGAGGTGGTTGGGGCAGTAGTGGCGGCGGTGGCGGTGGCGGTGGCGGTTGGGGCAGTGATGGTGGTGGCGGTGGTGGAGGAAGTGGCTGGGGGCAAGGTGATGGTGGTGGTGGATCAGGTGGTGACGATGCCGATGCTGGGAGTTCTGGCTGGGGAGGCACCAAGAAAAGTTCTGCCCCACAACAATCTGGTGGTGGTGGCGGTTGGTCTGGAAGCAGTAGTAAGGGTGGCGGTGGAGGCTGGTGATACGCCTAAATTCTATTTCAGCATTCCCATGTTTAGAGTTTACATAATGATGGGCTTTTTAATTTTGCAGTATTGTCATTGTTAAATGATTGTTAATACTTTGCTGGTGGTTGCTATGTATGCAGGAGGTCTCTAGCTGTATGATACAACTCTCAAGTATTTTTCTTTGGATGCGTGACCTCTATATTGTTTTGAGAGGCACTTTTTGTTATTTCTTTTTCTTTAGATCCAGGCCCTATGCTTGATTTCACGCCTTCTTAGTTGTGTCACTTTACAATTTTTTAGATGCTAATGAAAATAAAATTGGAATTCGAACATAAAAATGACATATTTCAAATAAAAAGGGACAGGATTTGCTATTGACAACATTGATGAGTTACTTAAGGCTTGGCCGATGCTGCATTTAGAGTTCTTCACAAATAAAGAATTCTCTTTGTAGTGTAATGTGCAAATGCCTCATGTGCCTTTCAAGATGTACTGCATTATGAGAATGTCGGATTGTCATTCATCAAGATCTGAACAGTTGACGGGTCATTCAATGTCTGAAGGGTATCACTAAAAACTCATAGTGGTTATAAGAGTCTTATGTATCATTCTCGTGTACTAGAATTTAGCAATATCCTGAGCATGACTCCTTTGAAAAGTAGTGCGCACCTCCTAACTTGTCAAGCAGTTCATTGTCAACGTGAAAATGGAAGGTTGAAAGAGCAATTAAGCACATAATTAAAATTATTATTGCATTCTCACATAAAGAGGGGAGATAATAGAGATAAAAAGGGATAGTTAAATATAGTACACAATTAAATCTAACTGTGCCAACTGGTATGAGACTTTAGTGTGTGTACAACGAAATTTCACTATTTGAGATGTACAATGAAATTTCACCATTCCAGATGAACACAGGAAAAATTATATATTTTCTTAAGAAGTGTATATTCATAATTTATTTTGTTTGAAAGATCTCGAAAAGATGAATACAAAATATCAATTTTAGTAAAAATAGACCTGTAGAATTAAAATTATAATATTTTAAATTAAAAAAACACACACATAAGGAAAAAAGAAAAAAAAAGAAAAAACACCAGTCTCCTAAGAAAAAAAGATTTCCTGTGTGTACATAATAATGCAAAATAATTAACAAGCATGTCCTTTTGAACCCAAAAATATTACAATAATGTCATATTTATCACATATTTATTTCATATTATACTTGCCATCTTATTCAGTAACACAATATTGATTGTAATAGATCCCATCACTAATACAAATCCCTAATATAATACTAAACAATTAGACAAACAAATATTTATCTCCAATTTCCACTTTTAATCCAACATCCCTAAATTTTCCATACAAATGATTCTTTCCCATTTTCTTCCTCCTCAAAATAAATAAATAAATGTGTTTGGTTGGACTTTCAAATCAATTTTTGAAATGAAAAACCCAAAAAAATTGTTTGGTTTATAATTTTGTCAAAATTGTTTTCTCTCTTCTTCTCTTACACCTTATAGATAAATCAATGACTATTTCTTTCTTCTTTCACATCCTTCATGTCAATCAATCAATCAATTTTTTTTTTTCACACTCATTTATTCAACTAAAAAAAAAAATACTATAAATTATTTCAAAATTATTTTTAAAATATACAATCAAACAAGTTTTTAAATTGTCAACTCTTTTTAAAAAATTATAATTCAAAATTGATTTTCAAAACTAAACCAAACGGAGTACAAAAATTTTAGAGTGCGGTAGGGCAAGAATACCGGATCCAATTTGCAGCAATGGGCCACCATTCTCAGCTTGTGAAACCGACCCGATAAAAAGATCCATACCCATTTATATACTTGTTTGGCGTCGGTGGATGGGATGCCTATCTAGGGTTTTACCATCATATTGAATTCTTGTTCAGTCGCAGCAAAGCCTCTCTCTCTCTCTCTCTCTCTCTCTCTAAAACACACACACAGAGTAACAATGACTGCTCAGACGCAAGAAGAACTCCTCGCCGCTCACCTCGAGCAGAAGATCGATGTAATCGCTCTTTCTCTCTAAACCCTTTAAAGAACCAGTTTTGATTCTTGATTTTCCTATTCAGATTGGTTTTGTATATATTTTCATGATTTAATTCGATCCAAATATGCATCTATTTAGTTTTTGCCTACTCCCCTTTTTCGATTGAATCTTTTGTACAGTTGATGATTCGAGATCTATACATGCCTCTGGATGTAGTGATTATGGTTTGAGTGTTCATGGTTCATCCCCTTTAAAGCCCCCTTTTTTTTGTTCAGTATTTTTTTTGAGTAATTATTCTATTTGAGGGGAAGACCCATGTCCAATTTTACAAGATAAGATCTCAACTCAGATTCAATCAATAAATTTATTTATTTATTGAAAAAAGATGGGTATGATTGCATGATTTGATTTAAAAAAAAAAAAAATATTTATCAAAAAATATATTTTTTCATTTAAAATATGTTGATACAAATAAAGGCTGAAATAAGTGATGATTGGTTGGTGGTATAAAAGATTATAAAAGATGGGAACACTTGCAAACAAATGCAAATCGTGAATTGGAAGTGAAAAAGAAAAACAACTGGGGAACTATTTCACTCATTTGAAATATGCTCATATACTTGTAGATTTACATGTGGAATTTTCTTAAGTACATAAAATTTGTACATCGACAACTTTGAAAAACAATATTTACACTGAAGTATATCCCAACACCAGAAAAACAGTTTTCTATCGGCGTTAGGATAACCTGAAGCTATATATAGTAACATTTTCTTGACATTGTACCAATAGATTTAACCCAAAATGTTTAGGTCTTGTGATATATATTTTTTCTTTTGGGATACGTTCGGGTTTATGATATGTTTCATGGAACAAATGTGTGATGACGAAGATCAAATATACGTTGTGACAAGGAGGTGGTGATAAAGATGTGATACTGAATCTGCTAGCTTTAATCATTTTTTCATTGAATGTAGTGGGATTGATGAACTGTTGCTGGTTATTATAAACTCTGCACTTATTGGCTCTGAGTAAGAGCTCTGAAGGCTGAGCTGTTTTGTTCTTTTACTTCCAATGTTGACTGCATACCCTCTTCTATCTAAAGTTATTTGCAGTTATCAGAACCTGACCAACCGGTGAAGGCACCGGTTGTGGTACAGTAGTTCTACTGTTGAACTGTTATTATAAAGATATATTCTATTGATTGATAAAGCTAGTTCCCTGTGCATATAAATTTTAAATGGTGCAGAAAATTAACATAATGATAAAGAGAGAACAGCTGTTGAATTGCTGTAAAGCCATATTAAATGCCCTGGTTTGAGCCTTGTTAGGCTTATTTCTCCAGTTTTTACAATGGGGAAGCAAACAGTCATATGCTGCACTCCGGTTCAATCATTAAATGTTCCAACTTCGAGCTAAGTCAACCAAACTGGTGGATCCTTCGGTTTGTGGTTGGACTAGTTCAACCGACTGGTTCAGTTCTCTGATGACACTAGGCTTGTTTATTAATGGGATCTTGCGTTTTCAGTGATAGGATTTTTTTTGGTTACCTTTAGAAAAAATGTTAACAATCTCTACAATTGGTTTTCAAAAAATTTCGTTAATATTAGATCTTGATGAGACGGACTATGAACTTTTAAAATCATTAATCTATTGCCTTTCACTGCTTATGCTATTCTAGTGATGGGGCATCATATACTTGGCAATGATTAATGGATTTTGTCAAGAACTTCTGCCACTCGCTCTGATGCTCACCAAATTATTTCTATGGTTGGTAATTGTTGAGTAAATTTGTTCCAGCTTGAGAAGCCAGTGATTGAAGATGAAGATGATGAGGATGATGACGATGAAGATGATGACAAAGATGAAGATGATGTTGAAGGCAAGTGTACAGGCCACACTGAATTTGGCTTTATGTTTTCTACTCATAGCAAGTCATTATATTGAAATCTATTATATGGCATATATGGTTTTGGTTTTTGTCCCCTTCATGTATCTTAGTGGCATTGTGTTGGTAGGTAATTTTTAGTTGCCTTTTATTTTTTGTTGGTGTGGTCATTGTTGAATGTTAGGAATTATGGGGCCCATTCTACATGGAATCTTGAATTTGGAGCACCTCTTTTGGGATGGTTTTCATGGGAAGTCCTTTGTTAAGAGGCCTTCCAATAAAAAGGATGTTTAGTAGATGCAAATTTTGTCCTTCCAAACGATGAAATACTTCAGAAGCATGATATTATTGAGGAATTACTTCATAACGTCTTTCTTAACCATACATATCTTCTTCTTCTTTTTGTTTATTTATTATTTATTTCTATTAATTAGGGTCTGTTTGGTAACATTTATGTTTTCAGTTTATATTTATAAAAATTTTATAAACTGATTTTTGATTTTTTTTTATTTATTTTTAGAAAAACATAAACTACAAACGTGTTTGGTAATTGACAAAATGTTTAAAAAATTTTGAAAATATAAAAAAAGAGTGAGAAATGACAAGTGGTGGCAAATGGCTGCAAGTGGCGGCGAAAGACGGTGGTGGAAAGTGGTGACGCTGGGTGGGTGGGTGGCTGTGGCGGGCGGCGGCCGAGTGGTGGGTGGCGGCGGCGAGTGGTGGGGGCGGTGGCAGGTGGGGCGGATGGCAGGTAGCGGTGGTGGTGACGGGTAGGTGGCGGGTGGTGGCGGGTGGATAGGTGGGTGACGGCGGCGGGTGATGCGAGTGGGTGGTGGTGGTGGCGAGTGGTGGTGGCAGGTAGGGTGGCGGATAGCGGGGTGGTGGCAGGTGGTGATAGTGGGTGGGTGACGGTGGCGGGTGGTAGCGAGTGGGTGTTAGTGGTGGTGGTGGGTGGCAGTGGTTGGTTGGGTGGTGGCGGGTAGGTGGTGGTGTGATGGGTGGGTGGGTGACGGTGGCGGGTGGCTAGCGATGGGTGGTGGTGGTGGTGGTGCGGTAGGTGGCAGGTAGGTGGCGGGTGGGTGATGGTGGTAGGCGGCGGCGGGTGAGTGGCAGGTGGGTGGTGGTGGCGGGTGGTAGCAGGTGGGTGGTGAGTGGTGGTGGCAGGTGGTGGTGGAGGGGGGGTGGTGGTGGCGGAAGACGGTGGGGGAAAATGGTGGCGGGTGGTGGCTAGTGTTGGGTGGTAAAAAAAAAAAATTTCAAAACTCAAAACGGAAACACATTTTTTTAGTTTACTTTTTTTGGCAAAATTTATAAACTGAGATCACTGATTTATAAATCAAAAATTTTACCAAACAAGTTTTTATTTGAGTTTTTAAAATTTTTGTAAATATAAAAAGAAAACTGAAAATGTAAGTGTTACCAAACGACACCTTATAATTTTGAACTGTACATGTCATGATATGGTTACTTACTTGAGATAAGGCTTGAAGTATAATTGCAGGTGTTCTTACTAATGTGCAGGACAAGGAGATGCAAGTGGCCGGTCAAAGCAGAGCAGAAGTGAGAAAAAGAGTCGCAAGGCTATGTTAAAGCTTGGAATGAAGCCCATTTCGGGGGTCAGCCGTGTTACTGTTAAAAAGAGCAAGAATGTCAGTTTCTTATTTGTGTCTGATCTTTTCTGTTTATTTTGTTTTTCATTCTCCTTAATCAGTGTAGTGACATTTTGTCCCCCAAAAAATTCTCTTTCCTTTTTATCTTCCAGATTCTATTTGTCATCTCAAAGCCAGATGTTTTCAAGAGCCCCACTTCAGACACATATGTTGTAATTGGGGAGGCAAAGATCGAGGATTTGAGTTCACAGCTGCAAACACAGGCTGCAGAGCAGTTCAGGGCTCCTAATGTCAATAATGTGATATCAAAGCCCGAGTCATCGGCCATGGCTCAGGATGATGAAGATGTGGATGAGACTGGTGTTGAGCCCAAGGACATTGAATTGGTGATGACACAAGCAGGTGTGTCGAGATCGAAGGCTGTGAAAGCTCTCAAGGCCGCAAATGGTGACATTGTCTCTGCCATTATGGAACTTACAAACTAAGAGACAAGGTCGTATGGTGTTTTTTCAGTCTAGTGAGTATGCACTTTTTTTTTTTTTTTTTCTTTCTTTCAAAACCATTTCTAGAGGATTTTAATTTGAGGCTTTGGATTGGTAACCATTTGTGTTTTCTCTTTGGTTTGTTCTGTTGTGTATTAGAACGAGTTATTAAACAGGCATGGTCCAAGTGTCATGATTAAGTTATCATATTGCATCATTTCACACATTGAGAAATTCAATTACATGATATCATGATTTCCTGTTTGCATTATTTCCAACCAGTATTTGTGTGCTGGTATATTAAGCATTTGTTACAGAGTGACTGCTATAGTTGACGTGCTATAGTGCTGTGTGCTTGTCCTTGATTTTAGACTTTCTGTATTTATTTTGTGGGGAATGCATTTCCATGGAAACTTCTCTTGATAGACAGGAAAACATGGTAGATTTTAAATAGAATCTGCTGAATCTTAAAGATGAGAGTAATACTATTCATCTGGAAACAATATGTCTAATTTCACACAATGATATTTCTGATTTAGTTCTAGTGACACAGTAAAATAAAGACCCATCAAGGTGGCTTGTGATTTGAAAATATCCACTTTCTCATCAATTTAGTTAGATAGAAAATTGATTTAAAGCCCTTATGTTTAGAATTTTCTTAGAAAATATTATTATTTTTGCTTGAGCTGCTTCATGGTGTAATATTCATCTTGACAGAGTATAATTTATTTGAACTGTTAGTGAGAAATACATTTCTCTTGTTTTTGTTTTGTTTTGTTTGGTTAAATCATAAGTGACCATAATGTTATTTATTTGTTGCGATCAATATCATGTTTTTATTATAATTAGACCTGCTAACCAGGCCATCACACATCACACAACTGGTCAATTTTTTCAAATCAACTAATTTCTGATTGCATTCACTTAATCATATGGTTACTGTGCTCGTTTTGATTGCTGCTGATATTATGAATTTCTTGTAGGAACCGGTTGTCATAAAAAAATAAAATAAATTTCTCGTGTTTTAAGATATGCATTATATGTCTTTTGTTTAAGTTATTGTTATCATATCAGAACAAAATTTCATAGTTTTGACTGTGAGACAGTGAAATTTCACAGTTTTTGAAGGTGAGAAATTTTTTTATATTTTTGAGATTGGCATTCTGTTGGTTTTATTGACAATATTTACATAAAATGAGAATTTTCTCAGATTTATGCATGTTCTGTAATTATTTTGAAAAAAAATAAATGAGAATTATATTTGTTTATTCTGATACTATGTTATCAATTTTAAACTAAAAAGTTCCAATTCCAACAGCTTTTAATCTCATGTCTAAACGAAAAAAACATTATTGGAGACCAAATGTTATAATTTTTTTAGTTTTGTATCTATTTTTCTTTTGAATCATAAAAATATGAGCTTTGAATCATGAAAATATTGAGCATCCTTAAGCAATTAGGGTTTTTGATGAAATGGCATGGTTGTTGAAAAAATTATATGTAAATGCTAGGGTTTTATGTTTATTCTCTCCTTCTTGGTGGTTTTGTAGAGTAGTGTTGCAAAAATCTTCTTGTGCTATTGAGATCTTCTGCCCTTGTCTCTCATGAGTGAATGCTAGAACTGAATTGATATTGATTTTGTGGGACAAACAAAAACAATGAAAACTGTTGGACATTTTCATGTTCAAGAAATTTTTAGAAAGTATCAATTTACTGTGGAGAAAGGAAGTAAAGACATTTTTAATGAGGGACTTTATTTGCTATAATGAGATGTGAGAGACTTGTTAGATAAAAAGAACCCCCAAAACGCAAGTAATAGATGATGTAGATAAAAATATAAATTAATTCCTGTCATAATTTTATGATGTTGAATTTGTGACAATTTTAATGGGACTATCTTTATTCTTGTCTGACTAATAAATTCTTCAAAAGATCTATCAAACTATGAAGTAAATGATTTGATTAATGAATATTTATTTATTTATTTTAATGTGCAATTGATTCACAGCAATTCTTCTATTTTTTATATAAACAAAATATAGACACAAATTTGAGTCGTCATTAATCATTTGGTATGTTTCACTTTCATTATCTTAGAAAATCAGATTAACGTTGTTGATTAATCAAACAGTTCAAAACATAACTATCTTGCATATACTCACAAGTAAGCATTCTTAAGGGATAGATTCGAAGACACCCATAACTTGTATATTGTCAAGGTTTGAAAGCCAATCCAAAAAAATTAATATTCAGGTGGGGTTTTAAAGAATTATTACATATTAATGAAAAAATTTATAATTTAATATTTATAATATTTATCATGTTTTTGTAAATAAATTTTCTGATTACTACTGATTGGTAATTCTCTCTTTTAACAATACTTCATGCTCGAAAAAAGAAAAAAAAGAAAAGAAAAAAGAACAATCATTATAAATATAATTCATATTTTATCAACTTTAAATCTACACTGTTTATTTCATTTTTAGAGTAAAATTCGGTGCGCAAATTCATGACACATACACCTTCCGTCCCAAAACCATAGTCATTTTTGGGAAATTTAACTTTTTTTGATAATACAATTATTATACTTTAAAAATATTAATTTTTCAAAATTAACCTTTGATAGTATATTTTTTGAAGAATATCAATTGTCATAATTGTATCTTTTGTATTGTTAATGAATTTAAAAGAAGAGGAAAATAGAAAATTCATATTATTTTTGTTCTAAATTTTTGAAAATGAATTAATATTTTGGAATAATAAAAAGTAGAATAAGAGACTAATGTTGGGAGAAGGATAGAATATATGAAAATTTTAAATTATTTTTGTATTATGATGAGGTGAGGTTTTGGGATTGTTTTTTTTAAAAAATATTATAAAAAAAAAATAATTTAGAAAATTGACTTACTTTTTAAATTATTTGAGAAACTAATATGCTTTTTGAAATCGCAATTCCAACATACAATTTCAATTTAAAATCGCATATTAAAAATGTAATTTTATGATGACATAGATTTCACTAAGATATATTACATTTTTCACATGCGATTTCAAGTTGAAATTATATGTTGAAAATGTAATTTTCAATTTAAAATTAAAATTTTAATTTAAAATTATATTTTCAAAATGTGATTTTAAAAAGTATGTTAATTTTTAAAATAATTTAAAAAGTTGGTCAATTCTTTAAATTAATTTTTTTTAAAAGTATTTAAAAAAAAAATTTTTTTGGTGGGGTGATGTCACCAAGTTTGTTGGGATTAGCACCTCTTGACAGGGTCATTTTTTTTTTGTTTGTTCTAATCATTAGTAGATACAATGAAGTCAAGGAACACAAGGAAATTTAAATTTAAAGTTTGTTTTGTAAAACTTTCCAAGAGGATAGAGCTGAAAAACAGCTGTGGCGGCTGTACTAAAGAATATACTGCCTCCGTTTGGGAGGGTTGGTTTTTTGACTTTTTGATTTTTTTGGCTATTTTAGCTTGGGCTTAAAAGCTTGGTTTGGGAAGGATTTTTTGATTTTTTGGCTTTTTTGAGTTTTTTTGTGAGAGAAGAATGTAATGATTATGGGTTGGATGTGATGTTTTATTTGTTATGGCTAAAATAGCCTATTTTGTCTTTTGTGGTTAAAATAGCCAAAAAAGCCCAAGAACCAACTTGCCAAACAGAGGCTGATTGAACATTGGCCAAATTATATGTTTGGTTTTAATTTTTTTAATTTAATTATTTAAAAATTAGATTTTTTATTTTTTAGATAAATTATATTGACATCCTCTTAGATTTATATTTATTACAGTTCTTTCCTTCATATTTGAAAAATTACATTGATCCCTTATTAATTTAATTTTATGTATGATGATCATTACGGTGAGGGAGGAACTGTTATGAAACTTTAAACCTCAGGGACAATCTGTAATGAAATTTTAACCCTCAGGGAGGGGGATGTAATTTCTGAAAGGAGAGGGGAAATTGTAATAAACATAAACTTCATGGGGGTGTCAATGTAATTTACCCTTATTTTTTTATATTTTTTATTTTTAGTAAATATTTTTAAAATTTTAAGTAATTTTTTTTTTTACTTTTTTAGATGCATCTTATTTAGACGTATCTAAAAAGTAAAATATTTATAATTTTTTTAAAATAATAAATACACAAGAATACGAAAAATATACTAAATTTTCATATTCTTTTTTAATATTTTTGATATTTAGTGAATTTTTTAAAGATTTTTTTCTATAAATATTATAATTTTAAAGTGTATTTATGTTAGGTGTATCTAAAAATTTAAAAAATTGCTTAGAATATTAAAAAAATTGAGTGAAAACAAAAAAATACGAAAAATAAAATATTTTAATTTTCTGAAAAGTGAATCCTAAAAAACCAAACTAAACAAGTAGATTGAGTTTTTTTTTGAAGAAAAAAAATCCAACTAAGGCCTTGTTTGAAGTTTGGAATGTTATATTATTTTTAATTTTTTTTTTAAGAAATGAAAAAATTTAATGAGGATATCTTTTTGTAATTGTATGGAAAAACGTAAATAATTAGTGTATTTTTTTTAGAGAGGAATAATTAGTATATTTAAAATATATGATTATTGATATTCGATCATTTTGATTTTTTATATAAATATTTTATTCAACAATGCTAAAAAATGAATGATTTAAATCATTAAAATCGACTTTAAAATGAGTTCGTCAAACTTAAAGGCATTCTCAAATTGAGATGGCGAACGAATCCAAACCCTAATTATAATTGTTTTTTTTCTCATTAAAATGGCCACAGGCCAGAGCTTTGACAATCTAGTGTGATCTTGTGGCAGCTATACTAAGGAATGTACTGATTAAATAGGCCAAATTACATTGACTACTCTTTTTTCTTTTTTCCCTAAGAAAAAAATCCAACTAAAGCCTTGTTTGAAGTTTGGAATGTTTTAGTGATTTTTTTTTTAATTTTAATTTTTTTTGTGAGTTGAAAAAAAATTAGTGTGAATGTCTTTTTGTAATTGTATAGAAAAACGTAAATAATTAGTGTATTTAAATTATATTTTTAGTGATTTATTTATTTATTAGATTTTTTAATGACTTTTTTAATTTTTTTTTTATAACTTTTTTAGCCAAAAAACTAGTTCACAAATGAGATCTCAGTTTTATAATTTTAACATAGTTAGGGCATTGTTAATTAACCTAATAGACGAAATGAGATTAAGCCTCTGTTTGGGAAGTGGGTTGGTTTTTTGGCTATTTTAGCCTGGGCTAAAAAGCTTGGTTTGGGAAAGACTTTTTGACTTTTTGGCTTTTTTGACTTTTTTTGTGAGAGAAGAGTGTAATGATTATGAATTTGATGTAATGTTTTGTTTGTTGTGGCTAAAATAGCCTATTTTATTTTTTGTGACTATTTTAACCCCAAAACCACTTGTCAACACCACCTAAGATTCGAAAAATTCAATGAAAAGTAAAGTACTTATTTTGTGGAATACCCTATAACTATTAAAAGTAAAAAAAATCAGATAATTCAGTTTGATTTTATTCAATTATTTTGAACTCTAATCTGTGAATCAAATTATAATCCATAGTTCTTAATTTTTTAAAACCTAAACTAAATAGTCTCTTTAAAAAGGAACCAAACCATATAATTTAAACTAGTTCGATTGGTCTACAATTTTATCACATTGTTTGAACATCCAATGAACTATATGCTATATACACAAAATAGATTACATAAAACATATATAAACCCTAGAACAAGAAAATGGGGTCATGTGGGTCCTAAATGTTGGCCCTAGAACAAGAGTCACTGTTAAAAAGCACATTTCAAAACTATTCTCTAATTTACCTACCCAATCTCCCTCTTTTGTTACTTCTTGTTGCTTTGGTGGCCTTCATTGTTGTTCTTGTGATGTGTTTATACTTGGGCCAATTATAACAGTTTTTGTAATTTGAGATTTGTGTCATTTTAATTTTTTACCTTTTAATTGTGATATATTTAATCTTAAATTTTGAATCTCATTCTAAATAAGAACAATTAAAGACATTGTTATTCTATTTTAAGGGCAAAGTTGTTAATTTAATAAAATATAAATCAGTTTGACAACAAATAAATGTCAATTTTAAAAAAATTTATATCTACTCACCAAAGATAAAGTTATATAAAAATAATAATTTTTTTTATATTTTTATTTTTTTACCAAATTAATTTTTAATATGTGTTTGGATGATAATCATGTAATGTAATAGGTGGTTATGTTTGTTGATATTTTTAGATAGTTATCATGTACTAGATGGTTGTATTTGTTGTTAACAAATATTTTTAGATGATTATTATGTAAGAGATGGTTATTAGACTTTAATATATAATCGATATGTTTAATATATAAAATATTTTTAGTTTTAGATTTTTTAATTTAATGGATTGGTTTAATAATGACATCAAAGTTGTCGGCATGTTTGACTTTTGAAAACATAAAAACTAATTTAACAAAAATAAATATCAAAAAAATTTATTTTAAAAAATTAGTTCTACCCTCCCAGAAGTTAATATTATATAAAAATGATGTGTTTTTAACTTTTTTTCACCAATTTAATTTTTAGTTTCTTAGAAAAAATTTCTAAAAATATATTCTGAAAATCAATCCAAACCAAACAGAACTTTATAACCAAAAAAGTTTCAATATTATTCATTAAAAAAAAAAATATATTTCAAACAACATATAAGTTAACCAATACAAAATAAGTTGTATGATGAATATCTTCAATTGTTCTTATTTGGAACAAGATTTAAAATTTAAGATCAAATGTTTCACAATTAAAAGTTTAGAAACCAAAGTGATATAAGTCCCAAACTATAAGAACTATTAGTGTAATTTGCCCTTTTTTTTGGGATTTGTTTGGGAAGTGAGTTGGCTTTTTGACTGTTTTAGCTTGGGGTTAAAAAGTCTCGTTTGGGAAGGACTTTTTAATTTTTTTAATTTTTTGTGAGAGAAAGAATGTAATGATTGCGTTGGATGTGATGTTTTGTCTTATTGAGCTAAAAAGACTATTTTGTCTTTTTTTTTTTTTTTTTGACTAAACTAACCCAAACCCAAACCCAATCCAATCCTTCTTCCCAAAGGAAGTCTTTGTATGTCTTTATGGTTGTCTTCTCATTTTTTGCTTTGCACTTTATGATTTTTCTATGAAGTTTTTCCTTTAGTGCCCAATTTATTTATTTATTTATTTTTTACTAAAACCCTCTCAACTATTAATGAAGATCGGTTTACCTCTTTCATCCATGAATTTATATATTTTTGACTATTTCAACTATAGAAACAATACAAATGTCTCCTTCTGGAAGCGGTGGAAGGTGATGCATTGTTATAGTTGAGGAGAGTTAAAGTGTACGAGTTCATAATTAATCCAAAAAAAGGTTTAATTAATATGCTAGTATCATTATGGTTCTCAATATTTTAATTGTGTCAATTTGATTTTCTACTTATCAAAATTGTGTTTAAATGGTCTCAATGCCATTTCCGTCCAAATTTTATAACAAAAGTACAGATATTTTTGTATGAAGTCTAACAATAGGTGGAAAATTTTTTTGGAGTGAAACAATGTTGGGGATGATTTAAACACGAAGAGGATAAATTGAAGATGAAATTGACACAATTGCAATATCGACAATCAAAATAAATCAGAAGGCATATTTATGGGCCAACTATTTATATAACCCATAAAAAGAAAAAACCTATGAGGCTTCTAGCTTTGTAGCGAAGCAAGCCATGGACAAAATCCACTTCCTCAAGGAAATTAGGCATAGGTTTAATCAGACATTGGCCCAAAACAACATAAATAAAACAAATGGACAAAATTACAAGCATAGAAATTGGCAAATTACAAGGATCCTAGGTTTTTGAACACAACAATAATTAATGTTCTCCCCAATGGTGTCTATTATGTACTGCAAACAACACTTGGCTCCTCTGCATCCAAAATTGTCTACTCTTTCTCTCATATTTCCTCTACTTCTCAAGAATTTTGTCCTCCATAGCCTTCTTCCAAGGTAAGCATTTGTATTGCTCTAGGGTTTCATATTTGTTAGCTTCTAATTTTTTTCTTAAATCCTTTTCATGTAGGTGAGTATTAATCTAGAAATCATGCTAAAGCAACATAGCTATTTTTCTTTTATCTACTAATTCAACAACTTCTAAAATCACGAGTGATTGAAAATCTCATCTGATCTTAAGTTTTTTAGCAATTTTTGCATACTGAGAGGGTATTATCACGGGAGTACCATTCTCTTTTGTGATTAATTTTGATAGTGAGATCCATCATGTGTTTGTAATATTTGAGAGAAAATATTTGTGATGAGTAAAAAAAATCACATGATATTACCACGTAGTACTCTTTCAATCTGCAATATTTTTTTTTGTAAAGTTGGTCTACCTTAACTAATATGGTTTATAAAGGAAGAGCCATTATTATCATTTCTATGAGGCTCATGCTTTGGTTATGCTCATTCTCTAATATATTCATAATTTTTGTGATTCAACAAAATTATAGTAGAGTTGTGATCAAAATATCATACAAGATCATTTCATGAATTCTATAACTCTGCTTTACATCTTCAGTCTAGTTATTAATCCAATAAACAAAACACAGCAAAACACAAAAGGATCACACATAGAATAAAATATAGAAACATGCATGTTTGTGTTGTGACACAAACATGAAAGAGTATTAATATTACATCATTCCATCACTCATTGTAGAGAATTTTTTTTTTTTTTTTGGGCTGTAGTTTATAAGTTGTGTTATTTTTAATTTTTTTTAGTGATTTTTTTTTTTTAAAAAAATTGACTGAAAATATTACTTTTTAAGTCTGTTTTAGATTGGATGATTCTAAAATAATAATAATAATAAAATATTATTTTTTTTTTCTTAGAAAAGACAATATAAGCCAATTTTTATTTAAAAAAAAACCTATAAAAATTGGCCAAATGTACTGGACCCATATGATAATTTCTGCTTTAAGCTGAAACCAAAAGTCTTATTCATTTGATTGCATACATATTTATCATTTTCCAAATAATAAACATATATATTTGATGATAAAAATAGAGACAAACATGTCAGATGAGGGAGTACAGAGAGTGGTGGTCATCCAAGATGGATCATCGAAGGAGATATGTACAAGGGCTATCAGATGGGCTTTGAAAAACTTAAACCTTAAGCCTCCTCTTGACAGTGTCACTCTTGTTGCAATTATTCAACCCTTCAAGTCTGCTACTACATCATCCTTCATGGGCTGCGGATTACTGAGTAAGACCCCAACTAAAACAACAAAATTAAGGGTAAATTACATTGATCATCCTTGAGATTTACAAATATTACAATATGCCCTATTGGTTTGGCATCCAGCTAAAAAGTTATTTTTTCCGATTTTTTTTTCTCTCTTTAAGTGACTTCTTGTCAAATTTATGTCATTTTTTAAAAAAATTTCCGACCTATCTAGTGTAAAAGGATCTAAAAAGTTTAAATAAAAATTTGAAAAAGTTCACTACAGCAACAACTAAAAAAAAAAACTTCTTTTTGGCATTCTTTTGGTGTCTTTAGTGGACTTTTTTAATTTTATTTTTTTTAAAACTTTTTTGAGTTTGTCTTGTTGAGTAGAACTCAAAAGTATAAAGTTTTTAAATTTTTTATTAAAAAAAAAGTCAAGAAAAAGTCACTAAAAAAACATAATTTCTTGACGAGAATGGCTCATATTGATACAAATCGTAATTTCAAAGCGACAAAGTATAATATTTTTTAGTTGAAGGAAATAAGGTGATACTAAGCGAGAAATTGTAGTTTACCCTAAATAAAATGTGATTAGAAAATATGATTATAATAATATTTTTATTTATTTTATTTACTTTTTTAATTTTTAATTTTTTTTTGGTTATTTTATTTAATGAGCGTTCCCAGTGGGCCAGAGCAAATTGGACTCTAGCAGAACAGTGGAAAAAAGAAGGGAACTTTTTGACAGAAAAATTGCAGAGAAGCTAGATGAGTACCATAATAATGCCCTGATCAGGGACACACTTGAGCACTATGCGAGGCAACAGGTCACAACCCTTCTCTCATTTTATTTTTATTTAATTTTCTTTTTTTATTTTAATGTATTTCAATTAAGAATAAAGGAAAAAAAAAAAAGAAAAAAAAAAAGGCTATAGTTTAACCCTTAACCAAATCAAACCAAACCAAATAAAGTCTTAAATCTCATCAAGTAGATCGGTTACATAAATTTTTCTTTTTTACTTGACTTTATCGACGGTCAATTAGTTAGTCAAATTAAAGAGATTTATATATCTATTTATTATACTAGTTCACGTCAATTTAGATCTGTCTCTTTCCTTAACATTTCCATCTACCGTCACTGTGTCACATCTCTTCACAGTGATGGCAGAGTTTAACCATTATAACAAAATTGTTACCCAAAAAGCAACCTAAGAGGGGGTGAATTAGGTTTTCACAAATTAAAATTAATAATACCCCAATAAAATTAACTACTAGTACAACAAATTATTAACAAGCACAATGATGAACTTAGCAGTAAATGATCAAACAAAATAACAATGAAGTATAACTAACATACAGGGTAAATAAAATGATTAGCACATGAATATTAGATAGATATAGCAGTAGTAGGAAAGTAAAGAGATTAGGAAAGAGGAGACAAACAGATTTATAGTGGTTCGGCTTCAACCAAGCCTACATCAACTCCTCAAGTCTCACTTGAGATTTTTCACTATCTTCTAACTTCACAGGGTGCCAGCAACCTTTTCACAGATGGAGTAATCATCCACAAATTTTACACAGACTTTCTAAGTTAAGAACACTGAGTGTACTACACTCTTACAAGGTTGAAAAGAAGGTGTTTTTGTTTTCACAGAAAGCTACTATAATTATTTCTCAAAGATAGATATAAAAATGAAATTCTGATTTTTCTGTAAACCTCACACAGGAAAGATGAGCTTAATGCTATAAGGCTCAGTATATAATTTCTGAAAGAGAATGTAAACAAAAATTGAAGAACATTTCTTAGAGAATTTTTTAGAGAATAGATGTGAGTGATTATAGATCAAAGAATATTTTTTGATTTTTTGTAACTTATTTACATTAGAGGCTTCGATATATATAATGAAACTTATAGCCGTTTATAGCCGTTGTATTAATTTGAATTTATAGCCGTTTATAGTTGTTTATAGCCGTTGTATTCATTTGAATTTATAGTCGTTTATAGCCGTTGTACTCCATCATTACTAATTTGAATTTCTTCGTCTCCATCATTACAAATTTGAATATCTTCCTCTTGAACCTTTTGAACTGCTGTTGTGCTGGGCTGTTTGAACCTCTGTTTTTGGATTGTTTGAACTCCTGATTTAATCAAATATTAAATACATTCTAACAATATTTACGATAAAGGTTTAGGTAAGAAATAATGGGACAAAATAAATTTTGATTTTATTTTTTTTTTTCAAATAAATCATTAAAATAAATTTTGATGCTATTTTTCTTTTCCAAATAAATTAAAACATAATTAAATAAATTATCAAAATAAATAAGTCTAACAAAAATAAATATTGAATTTTAATTTTGTCAATTTAAACCAATGTTTACGTTTTTAATTTATGTTTATAAAAAAAAAAATTGTATACTAGTTTTTATTTATTTAAAAAAAAACAAAAAATTGCAAATTTGTTTGGTTTGAACAAAATATTTAAAAAAATTTAAAAACAAAAACTCAAAAACATATTTGTTAATATTAAAATGTTTATTTTGTTTTTTAATTATTTATGAGAATAAAAATCATAGAAATCATAAAATTATAACAAACATTCAACATATAAATATATTAGTATAGTACTAACCATAGATCAATTTAAAAATTACATACTCCCTCCGTCCCAAAATAATAGTCCATTTTGGAGAATTTAACTTTTTTTGGTAGTACAATTATTGCATTTGAAAAAAGTTGATTTTCCAAAATTATCATTTTGATAGTACATTTTTTGGGAATATCAATGTCATAATTATACTTTTTATATTGTTTATTAATTTAAAAGAAGGATAAAATAGGAAATTTGTATTATTTTTGTACTTGATTTTTGAAGAGGGACTAATATTTTGGGACAATAAAAAATGAAATAAGAGACTAATATTTTGAGAGGGAAGGAGTATATATAATTAGGTTATGCTTCTCATTACAATACATGTGAAACTTAATTGATCATAATTTTAATTAAAAGAAGTACCCACAATGACAAAGTGAAGCATAGGAATAATATTATTGTTGGCTACATATTTTGTACTAAGCCAGTGACAATCCGACGCGTGGCGAAGTGAGGGTAATATGGGGAGACCAGGTAGGTCTTCGATCCTGATCGTACACGTGGCAATTAATATTGGTTGTTATAAGATCTGAGTAGTAGCAGATCAACAAAGAGACGTACAGTGACGTGGCTTCAACGGTTGCTCACATTTCAAATTCGAATATAAGGGGGAAGCCTAACTGCAAGTGAAGGCGTAGTGGAACTACTTATAAGATAGCATGATCAGCAACTACGGAGGAGCAGTTTGACGGTTTGAAGTACAATTCGATGGTTATCTTCGGAGAGTATAAATAGCAGGAAGGACTTCAGAGAGTAGGGGGGAAAAATCTAAAAGAATCACTTTACATATTCCATTTCCTGTCCTTTATATTCCTGTATTTTTAGTTTCTACACTGCACTTCATTTGTAGGAGTAATTGTCAAGTATATTGCCGCTGTAATTCTCTACGGAACTGAGATCATTGTAAGTTCTTTTTATACTAATGAAATACTCCAGTTTAGTTTACTGTTCTTATGTTCAGATTTTCTGAAGTTTAATTACCAGTAAGCCACCAGTAAAAGTCCTCTTTATTGAGGCCGAAAGAACCATAACACAATCGTCTGAATAATTGTTTGGCAATTCTGTAAGGACTGATTGATCCTTGCTGGCACGCTCATAATTACGAAAGCAACCTTCGAAAGCCAAAAAAGCCAACATATATTTTTGGCACGCCCAGTGGGACCTTTTTAAAAACAAAATGGCTAGACGTAGGAGACAAGGAGAAAATGAACGTTTGGAAGAAGGCGTGGAAGGAGAAGTGGAGACATCCAACCCAGAGGATAATGTGATAACACATGATTAATCTCATCCTGTGGAAACTCCTACTCTATCGGAACCCATGGTCGAACAGACATACACTCAGAGCAATACCATTCGTTCGTAATAGTGGACGAGACCAAGGAATTGGACCGCATCCAGTGTCCCATCTACTCAGCCAGTCAATCCGTGAGGGCGGCTTGTAGATGCCATGGGACAGCAATTAATAAACACAATGGAAAGGTGGGCAGTATCCTTTTTGGATCGAATGAAATAACCACGAATCAACGAATGTAAAGACCATAGAGGAGGTGCAGATCTCCCTCAGCAAAGATTGGCTAGAGACAAACGCCTATGCAACTAATTGGACATCTAATTGGTCAAACTAGTTAATGCAGATTCAATGAAAGATTACCACCTCAGGTCTTTGGTATGGAACCCATTTCGAGGCCTGTAGCAGGCCAGAATGCCTCAATGTTCAACAGTGAAGCCATGCCAGATTGGTGGAATCTGGCCCCGGACAAGAAATGGGCATAAGAATGAATTCAAATCCCAACCATTCGACGCCATACCCTGGTACGAGGGGGTAGTCGGGGCGACAGGGGATAATTCCTGTATTCGAATTTAGACCCGAGGGGTTGGAAGGTTTTCCTACAAGTCGGTAGGGATACAAACCTGTTCCAGCAGCACCTGTTCGTTGGGTTCTTTCGCAGGACGGCTCAAGAGGTTACCTACACCCCCAACAGCACCCTCTACCACAATGGGAACGACAGCCAGTCCAAATGTACGCATCTTAATGGACCAAGAGGGACCACAAGCACAAGGTTGTCCACCAAAATCTGTGTTTTGTTCCCCAATGGTGGTCAGCAGGCGCAAAATATGGTCCCTAGGACAAGATCACTAAGATAGTTAGGGAGTTGTGTGGGAGCCAATGGCTCGGGGGGTCCAGACCCGTTATGAGGAAAAACCATACCGCAGAATGGTCGTTTCAGATGAGTCGGGGTACTGTATATGTGAGTGCCGTATGAAGTGGTAGATGGCAATCAGGATACAGATTTTGTCCTCTTTCACTGGGAACAAACCAATCTAGCAGTAAGAAGCATCATTGCTAGAGTTTGCCGCTGCAAGTGTGGTGAAATTTACCATCATGACTATATAAAGTTGGAGACTATTTCCCCCAAATTCTCCTAACCGGGGAGAGCATCCGTATGGTATATTAACCTTTCAGCTCTGGCTCACATCCAGACTTGGCAAGCAAATGGAGAGGCATTCTCATGCCCAGTTTTTCCAATCAGAGCCAGAAGTTTCAATGGAAAGACTTGGCAGATTAGTCAATGAGGCTTAAGCAAGGCCACCCACGTTTAGTTATTTCCCAGATTTTAAAAATGGAGGGCATCGAAATAAATGTAGAGTAAATCTTGCCAGACAACTGAAATTTGTAAGATTGGCCCAAAATATGGCCTCAGAGTTCAGGCTTCGAAAGAAGTTTGATTCAACAGAAAGTTTTAGAGATGTTAGTGGAATCTGACTTAGAAATAGTATTCTAGATATGAAGCATTAACTAGAAGAGGAACAGGAATCGAAATAATGCATCATAGTGAGGGACATGACTACAAACGATCCTAATTCATCTGAAATTGATGCGGCAGAAGATTGTGGGAAAAGAGCCTATGATCTGTGGAAGCATTAATCCATAAAGTACAACAAATTCGACTTCAGCAGTTTAAAAAGAAAGATCTCCACAGGAAATATTTTCGACTTAACTAAGGCAGTGACATTTTTGATCATCTTTGCTTGCGAGCCAACTTCCTTAAGTTACCAAAGGGTGTTAAATTCCATCTCTTGATGAAACTAAGGAAAAATATATTGCAAATGGCCATAATTCTGGTGCCATGGGATCGATAGCAATCCATTTCCAGAAATTGGAGAGGTGGCGG